AATTGATGGGGGTCTGAATACTTTCCGTACCCACTGTATATATATTTTAAAAAACATTCAAAAATACCATTCAAAACCATTTGCAGCAGCGAGATTATTTCCCAGTTCATTGACATGACATTATGCCTGGCTTCCAGTAATTTGTGGATAGTTATGTCACATCCTTTCAAGTAACCCTAGTAAAAAAAGGAAGATATAGTACAAAGTATAGTATATTCCTACTAACTACACTAAGTATAGTTCAAATGTATTAATACATTAACTGACATATTGCTCAAGACTTTATTTTGAATACTACTTGTGTTTTAATATCACTACTGATGAGGATTATATGATCTTTGAATATACACAATGTACTTCAGTATATCTTTAGAAGCACTACTACTAAGTACAAAATCAGTTGTTCCAATTTAGCAGACTTTAAGTATACCAGTTTAGTATACCAAAAGTACAATTTCAGGGTATTCTTATTAAGCACATACATATTTAAATGTATTTGTAATATGCTTAGCATGAAATAAATATATTTCCAATACATTTTAGTATATTTATTTTTCACTATAGGGAACCTTGCATGCAACATGAAAGTAACCATGTTTACCACATAATCTAGTCACGACAGGAGCTGAAAGGTTTATTTTATAACACTAGTCTCATATTAACATGTATAACTCTGTTTTGTGCCTGTGTTAACATATGCATGTAATGTTTATTTAGGTGCAATGCCTTGCTCCATGTTTCTGTTTAAATTATTTTTGTGGTAATCGATTGAGCTTAGCTTGTATTGAATCTGGAACATTCCCTTAATTGGCTGAGACTGATGATCATTGGCAGCCATACAAATCGTGTCTTGTTGCGACTCTCTGACAGTAGATGATGATATTGGTTATACGGCTCCATATCTCTTTGAGGTGTCTGTCTGATGTGACACTCACAGCAGGAGTTCATCACTGTGAGCATGTCTTTGATTGAACTGACTGTATGTGTGTGATCATGAGACTCTAACCATCTCCTCTCTGTTTCAGACCGTAAAGGATCAGATAACTCACTGCACCATGAAGCTCCGACAGACCACAGGAATGATGGAATTCTGTCTGGAGGTTATTAAAGAGAACGATCCCAGTGGATTCCTACAGGTACCCCCCCAGAGAGAAGCACATAATAACAATAATAATCATTTAAAAGAAAACATATTTCAAGTGCTGGTTCCATCCCTAATTTCTGCCTGTTATAATTCAGAAGTATGAATGAAACTTGGTGCCATGTAAGCTGTGTTCAGACTGGCCCTCAGCAATTAAACTCTTTCAATAATTGATGTTTCGCAGGAGTGAACGTATAAAATATAGAGACGACAGCTCCAGATGAGCAACGCTGCCTCTTTACTGAATTTTTTATGAAGTATCGATTGTGATGTTTCTTTGAGTGCCTTCACAAAGCATGTAATGTGAGTCAGAGATGCCTGCCCAGTAGAGATTTCTGAAAAGGCAGGAAGAAAGAAGCAGTTGGCAGAAAACAATGTATTTTGAGGATCAAGACAAACCGATGCACAAAGGAAAAGGGTGAATCGCTGAAACACTGTGCAGAATGTTATGGACTAAATCTTTTGTATTGTACATCAGTGGCTGAAAGTACTAAAGTTGTACAGAAGCTAAGGCCCAATCCCAATTCTACCCCTTAGCCCTTCTCCGTTTCGCGCGTTCACGTGAAGGGGTAGGGGTGTCTCAATTCTCTTTTGGTTGGAGGGGTAGGGGAAGGGGAAGGGCCAGACAGCCCTTCAAACAAAGATTTTTCGGGACCACACTTCAAACGAAGGGGTATGAATTATCTCAGCGTAAACCGGCTTCAGGGGCAACATGGCTGCCCGAGCGAACAAAAAGACACATAAATGTAAGCATTTTTGGCATTAATAAAGATTTGAACGAAAAGTAATCATTTGTTTTATGTTACATTCAATCGTGAGTTCATATTTACGGTCATGTTACTCAAAGAAATGTGTGCAAAAAATCGCTAATATTTGCTAACTAACGTCATATCATTACAGACTGCACGATAGTGTCAACATATTTCCATGTCTGATCAGGGCGATAACCACCGTAGACATTGAGGGGGGCTAGTCCCCCCAATAATTAGAAATCGCTAAACCCTTTTCTCAAATATTGCCAATTCGAAAGAGAGAGAGAGAGAGAGAGAGAGTTGAAAGATGTGTGTATGTACTTACTTAAAAAACAGCGAATATAATGTAGTGATTCAGTATTTAAACTGTTATTAATAAAAGTCGTGGGGCAGCGTTGACAAGTTTCTTTTCTCCTGGATGTGTGAGGTGCGCGATCTACGATATATATATGTGTGTGTGTGTCAGTAAGCAGCGCATTAATATAGAACGGTAATTAAAGGCTCTAAGGCACATCAGTATAGGTGTGTGTATTGTAGGAGCTAAACCATGTATGATGACGTGTGACGGCATAGTAGTGGTGTCCCGATTCTTAGGGGAATATTTTCACCCCTACCCCTTGACAAGTGGAAGGGGTAGGCGGAGGGGAAGGGGAAGGGGAAGGGGTATAAAATAGAATTGGGATTGGGCCTAAATATCATGTCCTTAAAAGAATAGTAAATTTTTTTTCATGCGCTGAAATTCCAAACCATTTTCCAATTTCAAAAGTAAAATGATAATTTCTCTTCCAGATCTCAGATGCGTTGATAAAGCGTGTCCTGGCGTCTCAGGAACAGTGGGTAAAAGGTGCGTTGGAGCCAAAGGTCTGCCCAGAATTCGCCTTGACCGTCAACACAGATCCTCTGATGCAGTCGATTCTCCAGCTGGACTTCACCCAGAATAAAGGTAACATGTGGCAACACACCTAACAAATGAGATTTCATGTTTGCTGCTTGTAATCACCAGTGTGGGGGGCGTAACGTTAACAAGCAATGTACATTACATAATCAGGTTATGCCAGTTGGGATTTTTAAAAGAAATTAATTCTTTTATTCAGTAAGGATGCATTAAATTGATTAACAGTGACGGTAAAGACATCTATAATGTTACAAAAGACTTCGATTTCAAATAAATGCTGTTCTTGTCAACTTTCTATTCATCAAAGAATCCTAAAAAAGCATTGATAATAATAAGAAATGTTTCTTGAGCATCAAATCTGCATATTAGAATGGTTTTTAAAGCATCATGTGACACTGAAGACTGGAGTAATGATGCTGAAAATTTAGCTTTGCCATCACAGGAATACATTTTTAAAATATACATGGAAAAGCATTAAAAAAATGTAATAACAGTTCACAATATTACTGTTGATTGTATTCTTCATATAAATGCATACTACTTCATTTTCATATAAATGCAGCCCTGGTGAGCATAAAAAAGTAGCACCTCTTCTAATAAAAAAAAAAGTTGTTTTTTTTTCAGTAGGGAGAATTCAGAAATATTTTCAGAAATATATAAAAATGATCATGCAACATAATTTGTGTAATTAACAGTTGTTTATGAGTAACTAAAAAAAATGCTGGTGTTCACTGTAATAAAGCTAATAATATAATATGAATTTGTTGCAATGAGATTCTTGTTTTTCCATTTAGAATGTGGTATCTAGAATCTGGACTAGTAAACAACAGCTTCAGAAATGGCAATTAAACGAGTTTGGGGAAATAAAACCAATCTTGCAAACTCACATCTTGTCAAATTGGGCTACACAATCCAAAAAATAAATTCTGTCATTCCCAGTTTCAGAGGCTAATGACCCCCCACAGTTTTACCTCTAGACTCACACATGCAACACCTGCTTTGTCCGATATCATCTTTCAGATGGTCAGGAGGCTGCTTTATTGAAACAAATGCACGCAGGTGACCAGAAAGAGGAGGAGAGCACAGGAGGTATTTCAGAGCTGCTACAAACTGTTTCCCTACAATACTCGACCCCTCCCAAACCCACAGCCCCTTATCCTCTGTTTGGCACCAGTGACTTTAAGGAAGTGCTTATTCCCATGCATGTCACTCCATGATTACCCCGTTTAACCTTGTGATGCTTCAGTGTATAACAGTCAGTGCTTAAATGCGTACTCTGTTAATATTTTTGTCGTTTAGCGGAGACCTCCACAGTGCCTCCTGCACCGCTGTTGCAGTTGGAAAAATGCTGCATTCGGAACAACAGCGCCACTTTGGCCTGGAGGATAACTACTGTCCAAGCCCTGCTTGTAGAGGGTTACGTGCTGGAGCTGGATGACGGGAATAGCGGGTCTTACCGGGTACATCTACAACATTTTTACTTCTACACTGAGATCATTCAGCGGTCAAGAAAACAAAGAAATCTCTTAATCATTTTGTACTCTGAATAAAATCAACTCATATGCACAGTTTTCATTCTTGTGCTGATATGTTTCGTACTGAATCAATACTTTTTTAAAGAGCTTGTTCCCTTTTTAAAAAAAAAAATAGCCAGTAGCGTTTAGTTTCTCAGTCATGAACATGATTTCATATTCAAGGGCGTAGTTTTGGTTTGAAGTGTGAACTGTTTTAGTAGAGTCCCGGCTCATGCTCACTCATAAGGTTTATTTATTTGTTTGTTTGCTTATATATTTATTTTTGTGAAATGACCTTTTGTGCTATCATCTATGCAAAGTTGATGCAATAAAGTAACATCATAGTTAACAATTACTTGTTTACATAGGATATATCTATGTAATATATTTTATATGATTTAGGCACTTATACGCAATAGTTTGACAGAATGTTCTAATTCAACATGCCATGGGAAGTCAATATAACTTAACATTTTCTTATATTGATATTGTTTATTTCTTATTCCTCAGGCAGTCCATCAGGCTCTTAATGATTTCATCTATGCCGTCTTTTGGAATATCTGAAGGCCATGTACTATAGTTCTTAACTGTGGCATTTGTTATAATCTCACACATGCAACACCTGCTTTGTCCGATATCATCTTTCAGATGGTCAGGAGGCTGCTTTATTGAAACAAATGCACGCAGGTGACCAGAAAGAGGAGGAGAGCACAGGAGGTATTTCAGAGCTGCTACAAACTGTTTCCCTACAATACTCGACCCCTCCCAAACCCACAGCCCCTTATCCTCTGTTTGGCACCAGTGACTTTAAGGAAGTGCTTATTCCCATGCATGTCACTCCATGATTACCCCGTTTAACCTTGTGATGCTTCAGTGTATAACAGTCAGTGCTTAAATGCGTACTCTGTTAATATTTTTGTCGTTTAGCGGAGACCTCCACAGTGCCTCCTGCACCGCTGTTGCAGTTGGAAAAATGCTGCATTCGGAACAACAGCGCCACTTTGGCCTGGAGGATAACTACTGTCCAAGCCCTGCTTGTAGAGGGTTACGTGCTGGAGCTGGATGACGGGAATAGCGGGTCTTACCGGGTACATCTACAACATTTTTACTTCTACACTGAGATCATTCAGCGGTCAAGAAAACAAAGAAATCTCTTAATCATTTTGTACTCTGAATAAAATCAACTCATATGCACAGTTTTCATTCTTGTGCTGATATGTTTCGTACTGAATCAATACTTTTTTAAAGAGCTTGTTCCCTTTTTTTAAAAAAAAAAAAATAGCCAGTAGCGTTTAGTTTCTCAGTCATGAACATGATTTCATATTCAAGGGCGTAGTTTTGGTTTGAAGTGTGAACTGATTTAGTAGAGTCTAAATTTTACACAATAAATAAGACTACAAGCAGTTGGAAAAATGCTGCATTCGGAACAACAGCGCCACTTTGGCCTGGAGGATAACTACTGTCCAAGCCCTGCTTGTAGAGGGTTACGTGCTGGAGCTGGATGACGGGAATAGCGGGTCTTACCGGGTACATCTACAACATTTTTACTTCTACACTGAGATCATTCAGCGGTCAAGAAAACAAAGAAATCTCTTAATCATTTTGTACTCTGAATAAAATCAACTCATATGCACAGTTTTCATTCTTGTGCTGATATGTTTCGTACTGAATCAATACTTTTTTAAAGAGCTTGTTCCCTTTTTAAAAAAAAAAATAGCCAGTAGCGTTTAGTTTCTCAGTCATGAACATGATTTCATATTCAAGGGCGTAGTTTTGGTTTGAAGTGTGAACTGTTTTAGTAGAGTCCCGGCTCATGCTCACTCATAAGGTTTATTTATTTGTTTGTTTGCTTATATATTTATTTTTGTGAAATGACCTTTTGTGCTATCATCTATGCAAAGTTGATGCAATAAAGTAACATCATAGTTAACAATTACTTGTTTACATAGGATATATCTATGTAATATATTTTATATGATTTAGGCACTTATACGCAATAGTTTGACAGAATGTTCTAATTCAACATGCCATGGGAAGTCAATATATGTTTCGTACTGAATCAATACTTTTTTAAAGAGCTTGTTCCCTTTTTTTAAAAAAAAAAAAATAGCCAGTAGCGTTTAGTTTCTCAGTCATGAACATGATTTCATATTCAAGGGCGTAGTTTTGGTTTGAAGTGTGAACTGATTTAGTAGAGTCTAAATTTTACACAATAAATAAGCCTACAATAAAACGTGATACATTCTAGTAAAGGTGGTCATGATTTAAAAAGATTTTAATAGCCTATATGTTAGTGCTGGTTCAAGACTTTTCTCCTCTTTTCATCAGTCTTTTTAGTTTATTTACTTTTTTAGATAATGTTCGACTTTCTCCATAGCTTTTTAAAGTGGTTGTTTCTCTAAATAATTCAAATAGATCACATATTTAACCATCAGCTTTGCGATAGGAATGGCTCGCGCAAATCTTATCACACTTCTCGAGCGCGCTGGTGTACTCTGTGCGCCGCTTATAAACTACGTTTCAGTCTGATAACTGCTCCGTTCGGTTCGTACATGATTTTTATAGCCTGATTTGAGGTTTCCATTAACCATGGTATAAATATGGGGGGGGGGGTTATATCCCCCCACAAACTACGCCCCTGTTGATATTTGTTTAATGGATGCAAGCTAGTCTGGGATGCAATGAAATGCTAGCCTTCTAAGCGAATTGGTGCTAATTTATATCCCATTCGGAGCGGTGCCAGTAGAACCAGTGACATTGGTGCCGTGACCCGGACAAGAGTGCAGTTTAAAGGAGGCCAGCTATTAAGAACTGTGCAGGTAAACCTCACTCCTCTGGCCTCAAGAAGATGTGCACTAGCAACTGACACTAGTGGTTGCGGTCTTTAAAGGGATAGTTCACCCATAAATGAAAATTCTGTCATTAATTACTCACCCTCATGTTGTTTCAAACCCATAAGATCTTCGTTCATCTTCGGAACACAAATTAAAATATTTTTGAAGTTGAAGTTGGTTTGAATCCCACTTAAAGCGTGAAAATTCAGACCAGTTAACTCTGTGCCATTAAATCTTGCAAACTGCTTTTCCAAAGTAGGGTTGCAGGAAGCTTTTTATGTTATCTTGTTTTTGAAATGCTTAAAAGTCTCTGCTTCTCTTTCAGAAATCTGCAGCTTATTTTATCATCCATGATAAACGTGCAGTGTTGTCTTATATCTTATCTTACATGAGATCATGTTTTACCAGATGCTTTCTATTTTTACCTTACACCTTGTCTGCTTTTTTCCTCTTTCCCTGTCCATGTTTTAGGAAGTCTATGTTGGGAAAGAGACCATCTGTACAGTGGACGGCCTTCATTTCAACAGTTCATACAACGCTCGAGTCAAAGCGTACAACTCTGCTGGAGTGGGAGCGTACAGCAAAGTTGTTGTTTTGAAAACGTCTGATGGTGGGTGTTTTGGTCGTCTACTTCTTCACACAGCTTCTTTCATTCACCTTTAATAGGGCCTCTGAGAGTTCTTAAAGCTTCTTTTCTATCTATGACGCTCATTCACACAGCTTTCGCATTATATATTCCCTTTCCTCTGTGGAACCCTGCTGTGGATGCATCTCTTTAATGAGTGTTTTATAGGAAAACTATTCTCATTACTTTTTAGCTACTCTACTGATCAAACATCCTACGTAGACTCTATGTAGACGTAGAGACTTATAGTCTCATAGGGAGTTCATTTGACTGAGTGTTATTTCAAAAATGCTGATATTTATACCACTCCATTCCACTTCTGCACGTTAATGTTGAACCAATAGAGTGACTTTCTATATGAGTGAGTCATTGAATCATTCACACAACTGATTTGTTCAAAAACACTGACCCTGCTGTAGCTTTTTTGGAAACTGATTTCTATGGCTGAGCAGTAGTAGACAAATGCACTATATTGTGTGAATTTGATGTAAGTTACTCAATATTCAAATAATAGTTAACCCAAAAACTCACCATCTCCCTACTCACCCTCAGGCCATTCAAGATGTGTTTGTTTCTTCATGGGAACAGATTTGGAGAAATTTAGCATTACATCACTTGCTCAGCAATGGATCCTCTGCAGTGAATGGGTGCCGTCAGAATAAGAGTCCGAACAGCTGATGAAAACCTCAAGCAAACACCATGAGTCCAGTCCATTAAGTAACATCTTGTGAACCAAAAAAGTTGCGTGTTTGTAAGAAACAAATCCCTCAAGACTTTTTAACTACAAGCTTTTGCTAAAATGTGAGTCATATATCCATAATATTGCTTTCTCCATTGAAAAAAGTAATCTCGTCTGAATCAAGAGAAAAAAATGCAGCACAGTTCAAGCATCATTTACAAGCAAAAACAGTCAAAAATAGTTCTAAAGTGGATTTTGATAAGAGAGGATAACAGGGGACAGACTTTTTCACTGTTTGGACTCTCATTCTGACGGCACCCATTCAATGCAGAGGATTCATTGATGAGCAAGTGATGTAATGCTAAATTTCTCCAAATTTGTTCCAATGAAGGTCTTGGATGACCTGAGGATGAGAACATTTTCAGCAAATGTTCATGTTTGGGTGAACTGTTCTTTTATCTTGTGAATAGAACTTGTACAATTTCACTATACTCTATGTATTTCTTAACTTTTAACAACATATCTACAGTGTTCACCTTGAATAAACATGGCTAACTTATGTTTATAGCTTGGAATGTGATGAAAGATGGCAAAACAATTTAATTAGAATTAATTTCATATTTAGCAAAATGGCATACACGCTTAAATCACTTTAAAGGGCATAAAAACACTTTTCCCTAATTGAGAAGCACAGTGGGAACAGGGGTAAATTAACACACACATTAACTATGTATATTTACTTTTTCAATGTTACGATTTAGATTAAAATGTATAAATGTTCATGGAAAAAAAAAAGATAATTATTTATATTTATTGTGTTTATTTATAGGTGTATATTTAAGTCCTGTGACTGGCTTTTAAGTTTTGCACCAATAGAAGACTGTTAGAATTAAGACCCCAGTTATAGTTACATTGGCAGGTTCTAGATTGCTGTTTGCAAAACTACATAAACCAGGGAACCTAAAGGAGATGTTTAATTAATACTGGACTTATTAGGGTTTGATGCTAGATTTTCCTTACAGGCCCTCTGCATACTAGCTTCAATATTTCATTCCTTCAGCTCTTTTAATAATTCACGTGTCACTGCAGGAGTGAATATGTGTAGCTATGTGTATGATCAGCAAATTATGATGACTAAACTTAACCTCTTTTATATATATTTTTTTCTGGGAATATCACACATAAAACGATCCTTTTATCTGTCAGATATAACTGTCCTAAAAACCCCTTGGCTCTGTTTTTTTAAATCTTAACAGAAAACTAAACAGAAAAAGCCTTTTAAGTCACAAAGAAAATGGTGGAATTTAAATTTGGTGCACTTTTTACATTGGACTTTTTTTCTTTTTTGCACAAACAGTTTGAGAAACAGCATTAACTATTGTCAAATACAGTGTACAGTAATGTCAGTCAAATGCTGTGAGATTCTATTTTGATTAATCTTAGTATTTTTTATTGATTAGCCTCTTTAACTGCAAATATGTTTTTGAACCACACTGGATTATTCTGGCTTTAACTAACTTTATTTAATCTTTCCTCTGCAGTGGCATGGTTCACCTTTGACCCTACGTCAGCTCACAGAGACATTGTCCTATCTAATGAAAACCAGACTGTGACTTGTAACAGTTACGATGATCGCGTGGTGCTCGGGACGGCTGCCTTCTCCAAGGGCGTGCATTACTGGGAACTTAGTGTGGATCGCTATGACAACCACCCCGACCCCGCATTCGGTGTGGCACGGATTAATACGATGAAGGACATGATGCTAGGGAAGGACGATAAGGCCTGGGCCATGTATGTGGACAACAATCGCTCCTGGTTCATGCACAACAACTCCCACACCAACAGGTACGCATCTTAATTTTTCTAGGGTGGTGATCTATTTTGCAAGCTGGGCTTTTGACAGATTTGGTCCACATTATTTTGGACAGGCACCACCGCTTGGACAGGAAGGGACCATCTGTCCAACACATAATTTTTGTCTATTCACTGAAAGTCCACATAACCAAAATTGTCAAGCTGGAAAAGGTGATTACAGACAAGTATTCATATGAAATGAGTGGTTTAATCCAAGTCTTCTGAACAAACAATCACTTTACATGATGAAGAGTTTAATTTAGGCTTTATATTAATAAACTTTGATCAATACACACATAGAGCACGTCAAATATGGTCAACGGCTGCTCAATTGTACTCGCTGTTGATGTCTATAAACTTCATAAAGACATCAGAAACATAGGGAAAAATGATGTGAAGTATGTTTATTTGTGTCCTAAAGATGAAAGAATGTCTTCAAGAAAGACTTGAGAATGAGTAAATGATATAATTTAAATTTTGGGGTGAAGGAATGTTGTTTTTATGTGCACATGGGAAACATTAGGGGAAAATAAACCCAAATAACTACATCTGAATTTAAAACTATGAATAATATGGATGTATATAACTTATTTATGCATGGTATCACAACTAAATGTGAAGCAAACTCTGAAAGTTGAGAGATGAACTCTAATTGCTACAGACATTTTTGAAGCAAGGAGGAGATTTTAATTACTATAGATTTTATAACATGAAAACATTAAAAGAAGCCTGGATTCATCTCATTCTTTTATGTTAAGGACATAAATGAAAATTAATGTGTTCATTAAATTACTGTACAGTTTTTCTGTAGCTTAAACAGTAGAGCATGATGCTAGCAACGCCAAGGTTATGGCTTCAGTTCCCATTCAGCAAAAACTAATAAAACGTGTACTTTAAATGCAATTTAATGGACTGTTCGCATAGAACATGTTTTTCCGTTCCACTATATTCCCATTGTTTTTCTATGTAAACAAGCAGTAGATGGACGTGTTTGATCATTGCAATCATGTTTTGTGTCTTTTGCAGTTTCTTGCGCATAACATGGCATACTAAAAATGCAGCGCTTAAGTTAAAATAAGTTCAATTGTTAAGAAACGCATTTCGGAACATTGCATTTTTCCACTATTCCAAAATCCACGTCTCACGTTTTTCAAAGCAAAATGCATTATGTGTGAATAGCCTCTTAGAAAAAGCATCTGCAAATGACATAGATGTAAACTTGCTAAAATAGTATACGTGGAAGAGCAAGATAGGCAAGACAACAACACACATGTCTGTGATAGTTCTATGCTGATGATGTATACACCATATTACAGTATGTTGGAATATTTTCATAGTTGTGAAGCATTATAAACTGTCTTAGCATAAAGGTTTGATTAGGATATACTGTAGATGTAGTGCATGTACACTGTCACAGTTATGCTGATGCAGTATCCTCTGGAGAGAATGAAGGACAGGCTGATTATAACACTTGAATACTAATGCAAGGATTTAAAATTCTGCCTCCATTTATTGATAGTGAGGTGACTGCGAGGACACGCTAACAGTACTGCTAGTGTTACACTTAACAGTCCCAGAAATCTGTGCCATTCGTATGTAACCTACTTAATGTAGCCTGAAGCCAAGCTTGTTCTACTTCTTTGTCTTTGAACAGTTTTTTCCTCTTCTCTTTAAAAAAAAATATTTAATAGATTTTTAAGATGTCTTGTTTTCCCAGCATGTTTCTTTTATTCTCTTCTCCCTCCATCACCCAGAGGCTGTAAGCAGGTAAACCATTCAGGTGAAAGTAGTTTGCAGAGTCACTTATGTAGAACTTTGCTAGTAATAGTTCTAGTATTATCAGCTTTGTGATATTTGTTAGATAAGAAAATGTTCTAGAAACTCAATGGTTCTGTTTGTATTGAGATGCATTTTTGGTGATCTGCACACAAGTGGTCAGCACTAAATACAGGTGGAAACATATAACGCTTTATGTTCATTTTCATTGCTGAGTGCAGCATGCACATTCAAGTTAAGACCCATTCACACCAAGGATAACAATCCGTGTATCATTCGATCATTCATTTTTTTATTTAATATTGAATGTAGAAAAATTTGAAAACGGCTACTTTTTCGTTTTTTTTGTTGTTTTCAAGCAGGACATTGCGATGTTGCGAAATTGCGATGGGTTAAATAAACTCAATAAGCAGACAGACGCGACTACAGTCAAGCGCAGACCAGGATTGAGGTGCACAGGAAATAAGCAGCAGTCATATTTATAGTTTAAATTAATATCGAGTACTGATTGATGTTCACTTGGATTTTTCCCCCATCGAGGGAACTTAATACTCTGTCATTAGACAAGCTATTCATTTAGTCTGTTTGTTGAGAAAAATATGAAATTGATCAAATGTGTTAAGAATCCATACAACTGCAGCAGTGGAGGACTATTATTCTGCTGCGTGACACTGCAGAAGAACTGACCAATCAGCAGAAAGGGGCATTTAATTCCCGCCCACACGTAGAAATCAAATATTCAAACTGTTTATTCATTTTTCCACCCATGAACGAAAAACGAAAATTTAAGCTGAATTCTCGTTTTTCGTTTTTTGGAAAAAAACTAAAAAGGGATCAGTTTTCTAATTTTTCTGCTTTCAATATTAAATAAAAAAATGAATGATTGAATGATACACAGATTGATAACTATAACATTGACTATAAAGTTTTAATAATCATTGTAATTCTTAAGTATAGAGAAGTTCACACCATAGCTTTAATGAGAAACGACACAGAAAGTGATGCAGATTGTGACAAAATATGAGAGGAATGGCTTTAAAAAATCTGAACACAAGGAGTCACATGAGGTGTATTTGAAATGCATGTTAATGGGATAATTAAGTTCCAAACAACTTAAAGGGTTAGTTCACCCAAAAATGAAAATTAGCCCATGAATTACTCACCTTCAAGGCATCCTAGGTGTATATGACTTTCTTCTTTCAGACGAATCCAGTCGGAGTTATATTAAAAATTGTCTTTGATCTTCCAAGCTGTTTAATGGCAGTGCATCAGTCCAAAAGAAGTGAAATAAAGCTCATCCATCCATAATAAAAAGTGAACAAAGGCCTCCTCTAGCGAATCGATGCGCTACATTGAAGAGAGATGAACAGATTTATTCACATATAAACATTAATCTACTTTCTTACAGCATATCAAATATAGTAAACAGAAATTGAACTGTGCTTGCTTGATGTGTAAGAACAAATATCACTGGCTCTTGCCGAAGCTCAAACGTGCTCACATGACACGTAAGAACTAACCTCATTGGTTCTTGCGCATCAAGCAAACATGGTTGAGCTTCTGTTTACAGTACTGTTTATTGCATTAAATTATTGACTAAAACCCTGGTGAACTGAACCTTTAATAATAGGTGGAAACAGGGCCAATGTTTAGAAATACATGATATGTAGAGGCTTCTCTTGTATTCCTCAACATGTTTCTTTTAAAATGTGCATGAGCTGTTGAATTTTTCTTCACTACTCTATAAATATAAGTAGGTGATATCACACTTGCAGTCATCCTGTCAAACTGAATATTAGCATTGCTGTGATTCAGAAGTAACATACATACTGGAGTTGTGAGTAAAGTGGAGTCATAGCACAGTTTCTCTGATCCAGCTCTACTCCAAATTCTCCATTTCCTGCATCCTTCTCATACCTCTGCCCAGAGAGATCTTGGATCAAAACATTCCTGTGTATCCTGTGTCGCTGATTCACTTCATTTGTCTCCTTCCTCTTCTCTGTGATTCTTGCAGGGCTGAGGGTGGCATCACAAAGGGTTCAACTGTGGGGATTCTGTTAGACCTGACAAAACATAGTCTGACCTTCTTCATCAACAAACAGCAGCATGGACCCATGGCTTTCGAGAACCTGGAGGGTGTGTTCATGCCCGCAGTTAGCCTCAACCGCAACGTCCAGGTGAGCAGCCGATCCACACTGAGCTTTAACATACTCCGTGATCGGTAGCATTGGGGATCCAGAGCTGTTTCTTATTCTGAATCATTCTCATGACCTTCAAGTTGCTTTACCAAACGTCTAGATTCTTCTGGCATGTTTAGATTTTTTAAATGTTTTACCACAAATGTTATCCTAAGTTTAAAAATGTAGGAGCTCATTAAAAACTTTTAGGGAAGCAATGAAAATTGATCAAACATTTCTTTACTTTAATAAATAATAATACATTTTATTTATAATGCGCTTTTCTCAACCCAAAGCGCTACAACAATGTCACATGTAAATACAACTTAATCATAATAGACAATTTTTAAAAAGTGGGTTTTCAACAATTTCTTAAAAGTACTTAGTGTAGGAGCACTTTGAATGTTTAAAGGTCCCATGACATGCTGCTTTTTAGATGCTTTTATATAGGCCTAAGTGGTCCCTAGTACTGTATCTGAAGTCTCTTTCCCGAAATTCAGCCTTGGTGCAGAATTTCAGCCACTACGAGCCAGTCCCACAATGAGCTTTCCTTAGGATGTGCCATTTCTGTGTATGTAGCTTTAATGCTAATGAGGAGGAGAGAGGCGGGGCAACTGCCATGCTTCGCTCGTTTGCAAGCCATGATGTCTCGAGGAAAAAAAAATATTGTGCTCGCCTCGCACGGTAGTAGCTAATTTTCTCATAGGTGGGCCAAATTCTCTGGGCGGGCAAAGCAGAGAAAGGGGAGGTAACCTTTTCCCGTATGACGACATAAAGGGGAGATTCCAGATTGGGCCATCTGAGCTTTCATTTTCTCAAAGGCGAAGCAGGATACCCAGGGCTCGGTTTACACCTATCGCCATTTCTAGCCACTGGGGGACCATAGGCAGGCTAGGGGAACTCATATTAATGTTAAAAAAACCTCATAAAGTGACATTTTCATGCCATGGGACCTTTAAAGGAAGCACATTCCATAACCTCGGAGCGGCACAAGAGAAAGCTCTCTGTCCCATAGTTTTTAATCTGAAGTGGGGCTGATAGAGAAGAAGAGAATCAGCAGAACGAAGAGGACGAGAAGGCATGTAAGGGGTAACTAAATCACAAACATAAGAAGGAGCAAATTCATGCGCAGCTTTATAGGTTAAAACAAGCGTTTTAAACTCAATACGCGATTGAACTGGAAGCCAGCGCAAATTACAGAGGACACCACTGATGTGCTGCCATGAGAACACGCGCTGCTGAGTTCTGAAATATTGTAGCCGTTTGACAGATTTTACAAGAAGACATTTACAAGCAAAATTAATTAATTGGAATATAAAAAACACTTGGTTTTTAAATATTTCTGCTTTAATAATTATGTAATGATTCATAGGCCTACTTAAATTATATATATATATATATATATATATATATATATATATATATATATATATACACACAACAGTTCTTTCTGGTCCTCAGATCTGATTGGCTGAAAGCCTTGTCCAGCCGTGCGATATTCTAGTGTAGGGGTTCCCAAACCTTTCCATTCCACAGAAGAGAATCAGCAGAACGAAGAGGACGAGAAGGCATGTAAGGGGTAACTAAATCACAAACATAAGAAGGAGCAAATTCATGCGCAGCTTTATAGGTTAAAACAAGCGTTTTAAACTCAATACGCGATTGAACTGGAAGCCAGCGCAAATTACAGAGGACACCACTGATGTGCTGCCATGAGAACACGCGCTGCTGAGTTCTGAAATATTGTAGCCGTTTGACAGATTTTACAAGAAGACATTTACAAGCAAAATTAATTAATTGGAATATAAAAAACACTTGGTTTTTAAATATTTCTGCTTTAATAATTATGTAATGATTCATAGGCCTACTTAAATTATATATATATATATATATATATATATATATATATATATATATATATATACACACAACAGTTCTTTCTGGTCCTCAGATCTGATTGGCTGAAAGCCTTGTCCAGCCGTGCGATATTCTAGTGTAGGGGTTCCCAAACCTTTCCATTCCACAACTAGGGCTGGGACAATAAATCGATGCATCGCGATTCGTGGATCGATTCCGAGATTTTCGGAATGCATCGTGATTCTCTCTGGAATCAATTCTGAACTTAGTTTTTAAACAGCAGATGGCGCTCTATGCTAGTTTTTAACCGCACACTCAAATGCTCATGAAGAAGAGCGCTTGCGCGGTCGGCTGAGTAATGTAAGTGGTTAAATGTACTTGCACATCGGCTTATATGCTTTATGATGTGAGATTAACGTAAACACAGCCCACTATAAACATCCTTGTAATTCGCTTCAACATTTTCAAACTTTATGAATGATTATTTTAGGTTCAAATGGTGTGTGTGTAAGGAACTGGCAGCAAGCAGAATACGGCTATTTCTAAAGCACGCAGTGCCATCTGCTGTTAAAAACTAAGCTCAGAATCGATTCAAGAGAGAATCGCGATGCCTTCGGAAAATCTCAGAATCGATGCAAAATCATATCTCGATTCGCGATGCATCGATTTATTGTCCCAGCCCTATCCACGACCCACCTAGACAAGTATAATCTATTTCACGACCCACCAAAATATTTGAGAGAAAAAAAACAATTGACATTACTTAATCTTAATCTTAAAGGGGTCATATGATGCAATTTCAATTTTTCCTTTCTCTTTGGAGTGTTACATGCTCTTGGTGCATAAAGAAGATCTGTAAAGTTGCAAAGACTAAAGTCTCAAACCCAAAGAGATATTCTTTATAAAAGTTAAGAGTCAACCCCACCTACCTAAAATGGCTCTTCTAACACGCCCCCACATGTCTACGTCACGATGTAGGAAAATTTGCATAACGCCGCCCATATGTTCACGCAAAGAAAGAAGGCGTAACTTTTATTCTCGCTGTAGTATTGTTGCTGCCGCCATGTCATGAAGACACTGTGTGTTTCGTTGTGAAACTACTTTGTTTGGTCTTCCAAAAGAGGACACGACTAGAAATCAGTGGTTAAGTTGTATTTACAACACTGTTCCAGAACACTTCAACCAAATATTCCGATGTGACCAGCGCATTTTATGGAGGACTGTTTCCTGATCCTGGTAGAGTAGACTACAACGCCGGTTGTTCTGACTCACAGACTGTAAGTACGTTTTTTATATTTAAAGAATTTGCCACTGATGATTCAAACGCGAGTTTTGGGCAGTGTAGAGTAGCACTTGTTGTTTGTCGTTTCTCCGATCACAAATGCAGACATGGTTTTATGTTTACGCGGCGCGATGCAACGTGTAAAAAGACAGTATAAGTCATTATAATGCGTAATTATGTCCCCACTGGTTGCAACAAATGCCTCGTTTGTAATGGGTTTTAATGTTTTTGTCTCATCGCTCCGGGACACGGCATCACAATATGGTAAGGGGCGTAACATTTCCGTCACACGCTTGAGGTATTCGGCCAATCACAACGCACTGGATAGCTGGCCAATCAGAGCACACCTCGCTTTTCAGACCGATGAGCTTTGTAAAAATTGATGCGTTTCAGAAAGGCGGGGCATAGAGGAGAAACAATAATGTACAGTATGTGGTAAATAATGTTTTTTTAACCTTAAAATGCATAAACACATTTCATTACACCAAATACACAAAATAGTGTTCTTTTTAGCAACATCATATGACCCCTTTAATTAAAAGTTTAATATGGCAGAAATTTAGTATTTAAGAAAAATAACCATTTTATTTTATAGTACAACTGCAAAATTTCACTACTAATATTTACGTTTTAATTTATTTGTTTACAGACGTTAAAAATATGAAACATGTCCATAAAAACTTGAAACAGCTCACTCCGGTGAACTGTAATCTGCGCTGCAAGTGTTGTTAAACTCATCGCGGGGTTCAGCGCAGAAAATGCATTCATGACCTTTCCGTTTATAGAGGGGAGCGCAACCCAACATGTTTTTTAGCAAAGCATAAGAAGCGAAGCAGAACTCTCTAAAACAGTTTGGAGATTAAAATAATTGTAACAATAAACAGATGCGTCTCATTTTAAATAAACACTAAAAACCGAGATGACAAATTTACTTCTGTCAGAAATGTACTTTTGCAATGGTTAAATAAATGTTCAGCAATATCTTCAAAAGATTTTTGAACTTTGGCACCTTTTTTCTCTATATAGAGATGATATGGCAAGGAAATAATAGGACATTTTTTTATGCTAGCGTGTGGAAATTTTTGAATCTTGTAGTGTTACAATTAACCCTGTGTTTGTGCCCCGCTCACCCCATATATGTGAAACACTTTTTACAGACCGTTTCCTTATTAGCCAAATGCATATGAAGGAACGAAAACAGTGCCGAGTTCAAACAGATTATAGAAATGAACAAACATACCTGAAACAGTTTTCGTAACATTTGAATCTTGTATTTGGAACATTTGTATTTGGAAATAGAATCATTTAAGGTGAATCATAATATGAATCAGATTCCCATGCCTAGTCAGCACATCACATTTATCAACTTTAATGATTGAAATTTGTCTTTTTCACAGGTGACTCTAATCACAGGTTTGGAAGTCCCAAAGAGCATCATGTGATCATCTTGGACCAATAAGAACGAGCCAGACCTTTCTTGTTAAACAAATCAGTGCTCTGCTCTTAGACTGCACTGACATATAATGCTAATGTTAATAATATTTTTCCCCTCATGGTCATATGGGCGATTTGCATTTCAGTGTTTACAAATCATTCCCATGTTTACAGAAATGCAAACCGCAATGTCCCCACGGGGGCCAAAACTGGAGTCGGACCCAAAAGCACTTTGAAGTAGAGTTATGCCTCTTTTTCATACCTCCAACGAAAGATAGTTCAAAAACATATTTGGATTAAAACCAACTTATTAGCCATTTGATATGTTAGCGATGGAACAGAGTGATAAAACGCAACCAATATCAAACAACTGTGAGATTAAAAGTGAATTTGAAAATGTTTCAGGTTAATCTCACATGCTACACAAATCTCAGGTTTACTCACCTTTAATGTGCTTCAAAAGCCCTCAGAAATATCATCACTCAGACCATGAATCTGGGGTGCTGGGATTGTAAAAGTCCCGGTCAAGCCAAAAGCCCTGCGTCAGATAATGGTGAAGTTTACAGTCCCTTCAGTTCATAGTTCCACAAGTACAATTGTAAATCTTATTGCTAATATCACACTTCTGCTGAATTAGCGGCAAAATTTGAGGAAAAAAACAAAACAATGATCGTAGCACAAACAGTGCCGGATGAGTTACATGCTGAAGTGTAATACTTAACGTATGCACAATTGTCTTAGCAAACAGCACTAAAACACACAAGAAAAAATTTATATAATACCTGCCATTGGAGATACACTGTGCCCTCACCGCCAAGTAGACTCAGCCTTGGTGCTTTATATCAGCCACAGTTGTGAATATTTAGCCAGAATCTCAACTCTGAGGTCTCCTTACACTGTGACCAACATATTCCTTAAAGGGATAGTTCACCCAAAAATGAAAATTTGATGTTTATCTGCTTGCCCCCAGGGCATCCAAGATGTAGGTGACTTTGTTTCTTCAGTAGAACACAAACGAAGATTTTTAACACAAACCGTTGCAGTCTGTCAGTCATATAATGGAAGTGAATGGGAATCACGGCTTTGAGAGTCAAAAAACACATACACAAACAAAACCAAATTAAACCCTGCGGCTCGTGACGATACATTGATGTGTAAAGACACAAAACGATCTTTATATAGTTTTTTACCTCTGATTCACGCAATGTTCGAACTGTCCTGAGCGGCGGCGCATCCTCCTGAGCGCGTTCTCAACAGCAGGCGCGTGACGCGTCTTCTTCTTCTTCTTGCTTTATGGCGGATCACAGACTTATAAGTGCATTACCGCCACCTATCTCTCAAATGGGCCATTGACACTCTATCTACAATCTCAATTAGGAGTTAGAAGAATTAGCAAGAAGAAGACGCGTCACGCGCCGGCTGTGCATCAGAGGTAAAAAACGATATATATACTGTTCAGTTTCTTGCACAGACCGATCCTTTTGTGTCTTTACACATCAATGTATCGTCACGAGCCGCAGGGTTTAATTTGGTTTTGTGTAGGTTTCTTTTGACTCTCAAAGCCGTGATTCCCATTCACTTCCATTATATGACTGATAGACTGCAACGGTTTGAGTTAAAAATCTTCGTTTGTGTTCTACTGAAGAAACAAAGTCACCTACATCTTGGATGCCCTGGGGGTAAGCAGATAAACATCACATTTTAGTTTTTGGGTGAACTATCCCTTTAAGAGTCTTGAAGTTGAAGTGTGTAATTTTCTCCTGACTCAGCTTAATATGCAGAGATAATTGTAAGCCATTTTAGGTTGATTTCACAGAAAAGTGTAAACACTGATTCAAAACATCGCTCTGTTTGTTTGAACTACCCATAGCAACAACTCAACCAGTAGTGAGAGTTTAGGGCGGGGCTATCTGTATTTCTGACCAATGACAAATGAGTGGTCGGGAAACCTGTTTGAAAACAGTAAATGTATTTAGTGATGCAAAAATTACACACTTCGACTTTAAATACATGACAGACTCGAGCTTCATAATACAAGTAAATTATCACTTCATGGTTCAATCAGTATTATTTCCATGCTGCGCGCGCCCTTTAACGCTTTTTTAGATTCTGATGTCAAAATACAAAGTCATAACTTGTAGTCCGGGAGAAAAGATCGCGTTTGCATGTTGTACAGCTGTAAATATGGTCAAAGCAGTGAAGCACGCATGAGTTACACGTTCATTATATTGAATTTGTATTAAGTAGTGTGATGACCTGAATGAAACAGGAATACAGCATAGACGCAGAGTTGCAATCTGCCCAAGTTTTTGTTGTGTGGAATTATTTTCTGATAACGTAGCTTTGAGTTAAAACCCCCAAAAGCTACATAACTCCATAACAGCGCTTTTATTCTCATAAAACCGGTCACATTAAATGCATTGAAGATTCACATATGGACCTTGCAACAGGAGATACAAGCCTATGTTCAGTTTATACCTCTGTTCAAAATACAGTGGTTTCAGGGAGAAATGAGAGATAAATTAAAGATATTTTATTTGTTTATTATCCTGTCCAGACATTAACTCACGGGATTATGGAAACAGAAAATAACCCATTGGTGATGTAAAGCATGGGATGTTGTTGATATTTATAATGCGTTTCTATGAAGAGTGTAATTAATGTAAATAGCTTGAGCAGATGCTTTTATCTCGCAGTGAGTGCTTTGCTGTCAGAGGAGTACCAAACTAAAACGGAGCAGGTACTGGCACTAAATAAGTGCGATAAAAAAAAAAGAAAAGAAGAAAGAGTGGTAAAATGTAAAAAGCTGCGCTTAAAGGAATGTTCTGGGTTCAGTCAGGGCCATCGTCTCTTTGGGACAACTGAGAATGTTGTTCCAGGTCATTCATCGACATCTTTACACTACTATGACGGCATTTCAAGTATAAATCACAGAAAAAAATGTGAACTTTTAGCAGTAAAACACCAACACAAGTACCAACACAATCTCATGGCAGTTTCTAACTATTTTACATTTTGGCAAATTGGTGACTAATCCATATGAGTTTCTACTATCTCACTCGTACATTTTCATAGGATCTATTTATGCCCCCGAAACGGTTATAATGTTAGAAGTGGATATTCATGCTTACTTTTCCGCTAAAAATCATACATTTGTATCTGATAAAATTTTAGTAGGGAAGAATTTGTACAAGTGCTTTAGCTGCATATTTCCACTTCTTGACCCTTGTCCCTCAGTTGTGGGAAGTCGTGGCCTAATGGTTACAGAGTCGGACTCGTAACCCAAAGGTAGGGATTGTAGGTGGGGGGAGTGAATGTACAGCGCTCTCTTCCACCTTCAATACCACGACTGAGGTGCCCTTGAGCAAGGCACCGAACCCCCAACTGCTCCCCGGGCGCCGCAGCAAAAAAAAAGGCTGCCCACTGCTCCGGGGGTGTGTTCACGTTGTGTGTGTGGGCACTTTGGATGAGTAAATGCAGAGCACTAATTCCGAGTATGGGTCACCATACTTGGCCACATGTCACGTCACTTTCTTCAGAACATTTCGCCCTATAGACCTCCATTGTACTGTAAAAGTGCCAAGTTCAATTATTGTCTGTGGTAACTGCCAACATGCCACATATGCTGTCCATATGTACTTTTTCCGCCTCATCCACCATATTTATGACCATCAGCTGGCAAAGTAATGGCGATAAATACAGACATACAGCCATCAATGGCTTCGATCCATACAAAGTACCAGAAAACATTTTTACAGATCTCAGGTTAGCCCTAATAAATGTAACTTTCATAGACATTTATATATTTAAACTCTGTATGTAATGCCAGTATATGGAGAGCACCGATATACAAATAGTTAATGTGGATTAAACATATTGTATCTCTTGTGTTTTCATTTCACAGCCAATACTTACTAATAGGCTGCCAGTGGTCATATTTATGGATGATGAGCCGGAAAGTCATGTGACTGAAACGGGTGAACAGCTAAAGCTGAACTTTGAGCATTCCTTTAAATCCAGTTTATTCTGTGGGTGACGCCTGCCAAAACTGCCGTCTGTCCAAAAGGATCTATCTCGCTGATTTTTTTTTTTTACAGTGTCATATTAAATATCACAATGGACTTTTTTGTTTGTATTAGAGTATATTTAAAAGTTTATGTCAATGTAGATAATAGAAACACTGGTCATGTACTCAATATGAAACAAAATGCACTCAATAAACAGTTGAGATTGGAATAATGCTGACATGAGAACTTGAGAGAGTGCATTGTATATGTATGATAATAAACCAACTTTACAGTAAGGTAATTCATAAGCTAACTATGGATATGACCCAGAATCATGGGAGAAAGGATGTGTATATTTATTGAAGAAGTCAACTTGCAATTCCTGCCTCACTGAATTTATTTAAACTATCATACCAACTGCCATAGCCTAAAATATCCAGATCTTGGACATTAATAATTTTCCTTACTTTTCCAGTTTCTCACAGTCTTAAATATTAATTAGGCTGAGAAAATGAACGTCTCGTCCTGTGCCTCATTCACACAAATCTGCCGAAATTCGAGACGTTGCTTTGGAATGTGGTGTGTTTTCACTCAGACTGGATGTCAACCAACTTAAAACTTCATATCAGGGTGTTTCTTCAACTATGGTCACCTTTTGCCCTGTGAACTTTCAGAACTTTTGTCACTTTTTAACCAACAAATGTAATTTCCATCTCGTCCCAAATGGAAATGACATTTGAAACATTTTAGAATGGCCAGTGTTGGCCATAACGCATTACAAGTAATGCAAGTTACGTAATCAGATTACTTTTTTTTTTTTAAAATATCTAGTAAAGTAATGCATTACTTTTAAATTTAATAGAAAATGTCCAAGTTACTTTTTCAAATAAGTAACGCAAGTTACATAGTTTTCCCATTTATTCACTAACAGCTCTCTTCTCTGTCCCCGTATTGAGAGAAATTGGGAGTGAGGTGCAAAGTCAGAGACACTTCCTTCAGCCTTAGGCTTTTTAATTTCACTTTTGGTGGGAAAGGAC